AAATATTTCTTAATTCTCTAGAAAACAGTGGTAAAGACATTAACAAAATGTAATAATTATCCTAAGCTTAAACAAAACAAACTGCTTTTTCTAAAAGAAATATTCACTGGGGTTACAAGCCTGTTAGGCAGCTGAACAGTTCCATTCTGCCCTGACAACTGTTTCCCAATAGTAGTCTCAGTGCTTACTGCTAATCATAGTCTTAGAAAACTGGGCCCTATATCTATTACCAGATAAAAGCTTAATCGTATAAACAAGGAGGGCGTTGAAATAAAGGATGCAATATTCTATTAGATATACAGGTAGACATATAAGACAAAGAGAACTCAATAGGTTCAGCTGGTGTAAACCTGTGTAACTCCAGCTTTAGCCTGCTTTTCTGAAGAAGCAAGGCTTATGCAGTCAAACTCTGTGTGTGTGAGAGCCCTTACTAATAACATTTTAATTCATTTTTCTCTCAAATTATGCAGATGGAATGGAAGGCTCCAAAAGAGAGAATTAGGTTCCTGTAAGATCTGTGAAACTATATGGCTGAATATAGGAAAGAAATAAACTGTGCGCTTCTAGTATTATCTTGAAATAAGAACCAGGGGCTGCAAGCCCTGCCTCTTCTCCAACCTGCCTTACAGATCTGCAGCACACACGTTTTGCAGTTAGTCTCTGAAGACGCGGAGGTCTGGCGCACGTGGCAGTTCTGCCTGCCCAGAGCTCTGCTGCGTGCCGGGAGCCAGACCTCCTCTCCCCTGTGGGCTCGCTGGCACCTCCACATTTTGAACAGAGAGCTGAATTTCCTTCGTGGGGTAAATGCCACAGTGTAAGCTCTCTGCCTACTGGAAGAAATCCATGCCAAAAAGAACCATTATAATGCTTCAGTATTATATAATTACAATGCCTCAGCAGTGGTAAATTTTTCAGTCAGAGCTTGCAGCTTCTTCAAAACCTCAGTCACAACAAGATAGGAAGTTGTAACAGATCAGGTTTCAGTAACGGCCTCCCCAAAAAACTTAAGTCAGTGCAGTTACGCTTGCTGAAAATCAAGTTTCTGGCCCACTGGAAGTTGATCAGTACAAAACTGGTAACCCAAGATGAAGATGATGGGGCAGGGAACGGGCACAAGGACAAAGATGCTCCGAAGGGAGGTGACAGCGCGTGAGTTATGGCACAGTACCTGCCAGCACGGCTGGCCTGCGCTCGAGCCAGCACCCGTGCCCGGCACTGCTGGCACAGAGAGGATTTGGTCAGAGGGTTTCTATTATCTTTAGCAAATGTGAGAAGATATTAATGCGAAAGCTGAGTGTTTGTTCCTCTCCCAGTTTTTTTGCTTTGTGCCCAGCACAAAGACATTGACATCAGATTTGATTATTTCAAGGATTTAAGAAGTTGAGAAACTAAAGTGATGCACGGGTATCTCTGCCAATTGACTGGGGGAGGGAGAGGGGGCGGGAAGAGCTTATAATTAACCATACTGAGAAAGAGTAGACATTTTCTGGGTAGGCGGCACTATTAGGACACGCCTGGGATGAACGGCCTCCCAGGCGCACAGGTCCTCCCTGCTCTGGAGGGACCAACACCCGTAGCGACTCCTGGTTCCTCCGTCTTCCAGGCAGAGCCACCTCCCGGCTAGAGGGGGTAACGCAGACTGAGCCTCCGCACCCCGGCAAGTGCAGGGGATGGAAGGAAAGATGGTTTAACAGACTTGAGCACCTTGGGCCAGCTGATCAGCAGATGCCTGTCTGAAGACCTGGACCCGTGGTTTTTTAAACATAGGTGAGGAGTCAGGGCAGGATGCACTGGGATTCACCTCTGTCACTGCCGCGTATGTGTGCCTGTTTGAAAACCTGAGATATGTGCTGAAACCTTTTGCATAAAAGGGAGAAAATATATTATTTGCATTGCATTTGTCATGTAAGGATCTCTCTGTATATGTGTCTATATACATACATATATATATATATATATACACACACACATAAGAGGCATATAAGGATCTCTCTGTCCCAAAGAGAACCAGGGAACTTCAGATCTCCTGCAGTCAATCTTTCAGGCTTGTTGAGAAGATCCCCTTGTCCAAATGCAGTAAGAGCTCAGGTAGAGTGGAAGTGTGTAACTACGAATTCAGATTTGGCTCCTGTTCTCTCTGAGCTCTCTTAATATTCCCATTCCCAGGTTTAAAAGCAGTATCCTATGTTTATACATATAATAAGTACTGTACATTTCGTAACTGCAGGGTCTAAAATTTCATCTTGTAACATTCCCCTACTGACTATTCCTAGGGCTGACAAACCATCAGACTATTTGTTATCACTTCTTTCTTTATGTTGCTAATAGAAGCAGCATCCTTTTTTATGTGGGTACCTGTTCTCATCACTGAGAAGAGCAAACTCTATACACAAGACACTTAGTGGATACTAATAGGTATGAACAGGGCTAAACCTCAGGCAGAGTATGGGGGAAATCAATATATACTTCTTTTAGAGTCATTGTATGATGCTATGAAGCTTGTTTATGTAACCAGATAACTGAAATAATATCAACCCCCATCCTTAATGAAGCTCCACGTCACAACAAAAACAAAAGCTCAGGAAGGGCTCAAACTGGAAAGCTAGTTTTACTGGTGGTTGCTTTTTCAAGAGTTTTCTGTCTATGGGAGAAAAAAAAAAAGTAAGACCACAGGTGATAGGAGATATCAGAAACTGGTACAGGAGATCTGGCATGCAGCACTTCCAAGTGCTGGGACAGAGTTGGGTGAGACAAGGAACTGTACACTGAAGAAACAGTCTCCTGTTGTTCAACTGATTTCTTCTGCATTCAAAGAACTTTTAAAATAAACAGAGTTCAATCAGAGATACCTGACTATATCATCAGTTTCTCCTTCCTAATGGATACAATCTGCAAAGTTCCTGTTTTAACTAACTATCAGGTCAAAAGAGGGACAGTACAAATTTTCAGCCACTTCCGTTTAAGGTTGGATTTGTGCTAGTGACCTGTAAGCGCAAGATTTTCTAGTCTATTATCAGTCTTCTGAGCCACACACTTGCCACCTTTTACTTCTGCCACAACCCTCCAAGATAACCTCTGGACTTGTACACTGTATTTTGCACTGAGTGCCTCTTTTAACTCTCCTTTCTCACCTTCTCTTTTCTTTACAAGTATTTTTTTTACTTGTTAGTTCAAGAAAAAACCTGCATTAATTTCGACTAGGAGAGTAAAATTAGAGCTTGGTGCTGTACCCCTGGCTTTTGTAAATCATAATACAGAGTAATTTAGAAGATAATTTAAATGTCATTGCTCCCACAGGACAGTCTGAGAATATTCCAAACGCACAAAGAAATTTAGTTTAAATGTGTATGCATACTGGTAAAAACAGAGAGCACTGGTTTACTCATTTTATGAAATATGTGTGGGAAGTACTGTGCTTGTTGTGGAAAAAAAAAAGGACTGTACAAGAATGTAATTGTATCTGGAGTATTTTTTGTTTGCAAAAGCCTGAAATTTCAGTATGCAATAGCAAGCAATGGTTAGTTTGTTATATAGGGAGACAGACTCACGCTGTCTTACAATGAGAGCTAATCCCTTTGAAGATCTGTAAAGTTTCTTCTCTTTCTTCCTCAGAGGATGGAGTCCATCAGTTCTAACAGTGCGGCTCAGAGATTGACTCCTGACACATCTGCAGGTAATCTAGAGCTATCATAGTCTGTGTCAGAGCAACTCTTCCCCACAGTGCTGCTTCTGCTCCTGGCATCTCTAAAAAACAAGGGGATTTAAAGAACTACACTTTTTAGGGAAGGGCATGTGACTCTGCTCCAACCCTTTTCTGTCCTTACTACGTCACTTCCTCATGTGAGATTCTTGTTGTCCTTGGAAAACTCTCCTTTCACCTCTCAAAAAAAATCTATTTTGTCTTGATGTTCTCTAGCTGCGTGGGACAGAACCAGGTATGAGTCTATGGTCATACTATGGCCAGTTCTAGGCATACAAGCACCATCAATCAGCTTCATTCTGTGAAAACCCATGAGAAGGCAGATGTAAAGATAGATGATTTAAAAATAAAATTAGTGCTGGGTTGTGTTTATTTTCAGCAACTCTCAGTGATCTGAAGCCTAGAAACTTATCTTTTTCTTACAATGGAAGACGAATTTTTGGCATATGTATTTGGTTCTAGAAGATGGCTTCAAGGAAAGGCACCAAAGAATGCAAATTTTTTTCTCAGATCGGGTTACGTGAAGTTAGCTTTGTTACTCTCCATCTCTCCTTATCTCTTCTCTCGGTGTTGGGCTGAAAGCTTTTGGCCATCCAACCGGTATTTGTGATTGTAGCCAGTTGGAAGACAAGACAAATTTAGAGGAGAGAAAAAGCTATCCCAAATTATGCTCACCCACTGCAAAGGCAGCTACCATGCACCATCCCTCAGCACCAGGATCTAGATCATTAATCCTGCCACCAATACAGTGGCACCACTAAAGGTTCTGCCTTTAATGTACTAAGAAATCACTTTCACTTCCAGCTGAGGCCAGGCATATATTATTAGTTCACTGGAGACACACTGGGTTTTTTTCCATTATTCATCATAGTACAGCACATCTCTCAAAGTACTGCAGAAGACTATAAATTAAGTGTGCTTTTTCATCTTATTTGTATGGTGTGTTATTTCAATTAGTTTCGATTTAAGGTAGGCTTTTTGATAAGGTGCGTTATTTATTCCATGTATTTAACTTCTAGTTAGCTTGAAGGAAAAAGTCCTCACATTACAAGGAAAGAAGAAAACATAAATTAAAAAAAATTCATTAGTTTTTAAGAAAATAATACCTATATAAGGTATTGCATAAATGTTCCTATTGATTAAAAAATACGTTCATAGCTCCATTATAAATATGAATGTACAGCGGTCAGTAATGGTTCTGGCACTTTGACATTAATTCAGTTAAACCCAAAATACTGGTGATGACATGACTCATTTAGGAAGCTTCAAAATCATTGGAACAATCATTCTCCTCACTTACCTTGAGACAACCAGTGGGAGAATCAACATTTTCAGCATCCTCATCAGTAACTCACCAGGAAACTGGAAATAACTAATTTCCTAGAAATACATGGAGAGATGTTTATTGTTTTGAGATAAAGACTATCTGTCTTCATGAGTCCTGCTAGAGCTGTGGATCAGACAACATGGGTAAAATCTGCAGCTTTGGTATATAAGATGGCAAAGACAGTAGGCTTTGAAAGATAATTTTAAAATGAATTAAATTACATATTGTGTTGTAATTCAACAAAACCACACTACATTGTTTGTTCCTTTACAAAGGAAGACAAAAATGAAACATGCCGTCTCTTGAGGACTACTTTTAATAGGTTGCTCTGAATAATCTCTTCATTCTGCATTTTGTGTGTTTTGCTAGATGTGTATGAAGCTACTGCTTGGACATAAAAGATGTTCAGACTGCAGTTAGCAGTAGCAGAATAAAGAATTGTTTTAGTTTAGTCACATATACTAAGTGCCATATTTTTTAATTGAGATTTATATATTGTGATCAAACAATACATTCAGCAATGCCTGTTACCCTCTCTATTCTGGCTGACTAATACAGCAGAAAGAAATGAGTACCTGTAAAGAGCTTAGTTGAAGTATGCTGGAGGAGAAATCCCCAAGTGACTTTAATAACACGGTCTATTAATGATGGGACATCTCAAATTTATTAATACAAAATACCATTGGTGTAATGTAAACATCTGTACTTCTGTACATCTAATGATGAAAAATATTCCCAGTGTTTTCTTTAGACATACATGTTCCAAAGTAATATAAAATTCAATGAATATATTGCACTACCAGTTTTTAACAGGTCTATATTAGATGCTACATTTCATCCAGCTTAAACACCCACTATTATTATCCATGCTTGCAACGTTATAATATGCTTATGCTAGACTTACTAGGTGTCTTAAAGACCAGAACCCTTTGCAAACATATTGTTCAAGAATGCGTGAAAAGACCCAGAGAACAGAGTAGATTAACAAACAAATGAAATGAAACAAATTTAACACACAGATACGTGCTTTTTATCTTCAAAAGTCCATCCTGAAGTTCCTCAAGTCGCTATGTCTTTTGTTACGTAAGTACGATATTTTCTCTGTAGTGATACACTGCCGTGCCACACGTACCTGCTGGGAGAGCCGTCTCGTCCTCAGGAAGAATCCAAGAAGACAGCCAATGGTGACCGACAACACCGAGAGAATGAGCAAACCATTTCTTTTACAAACATCCTTGATCCGAGCGAGGATTGCATCAAAAGCCACTGCCATGCTGTCCTCTCTGCTCTTTGGAGAAAAATCAGCATCCCATGGAGAGAGAATTCACTCGCTCCCCTTGTTCATGTGGACAGATCTAGCTCTGTATAGATCAGATCAAAGCACTTCCAGTTCTGCTTAGCTGACCTGCAAGGTCACCCCTCTGCCAATAGCCACCAAGCAAGCAGCTGGCATTATTGTTCCAAATTAATACCAACAATCCTATTATCGACTACACCATTAAGAGCCTGGAAGAAGATTAGGGGGCTCTGGAAAATTAGAACAGAATGCAGTAGTATTTCTAAAACAAGACTGCTGCAAAACAAAGTGACACTCCTGGGAGAAAGATGGTGTTTGAGTGCATTCCTCGTCTCCCCAGTTTGGGGTCTGGAAACCCAAACCTAGAGAAGCAACAGCGCGAGTCATGCATTCAAATGGGTAAAACTAACGTTACCGCAGCTTTTCTAAAGGGCAGAGCAGGTAACATTTTGAACTGGACTATCACAGCAGGGCAAGCTAGGTGAAACTGAACTTCATTAACTAAAGCAGGCTTGGGTTTTTTGTTTTCATGGTGGAAAAAGGCTGAATGAGTAGCATAAGAGACAGGCATTGAAGAGAAAATAGCTGTATACTGAAACACGCAAGGATGCCTTCTGGCATTTGGCATTTAATATCTTGGAAGTGAAATGATTTCACTTTTTCTCCAACCACTATGTTGATTAGAGTAGGGCCAATTTACTTTCAGAGGATTATCAGACTAAGCCACAGGGATTGCTTTCCTTTCCTTTGCCGTGTCCACATTCAATCCCAATGTTGATTTTTATGCTAGTATCTGATAAAAATACACCACCATAACTGTTCGCCATGGCATGCTTTCTTACCAAAGCATTTCTGTAGTTTCTGGGTTATTCTAAGATTATTCAGTGTTTTTATGGAAAATATTCCATACAGTACAACAAAATTGTGTGGTTACAATATTATATTTTATACTGTAATATGGTATTTGTTGTTACATGCTCACCTATGAGTAAAAAAGCTCATGGGAGATTAAACTGTTCCCTTTGGAAGCAGGACCTGAATGCTGTATGGTCAGTAAGACGTAGGGACACATACCAAAAAAAAAAAGGAAATAAGAGAAAAAATATGTGGAGTCTATAAGCTGAACAAGAGCGCTATCAAAACAAGAGGATCACAGAAATTTTTATTAATGCGTATGTAGAAGAGGACTGAACTGATGTTGCACCGTCCCAGTCCAGACGTTTTCTAATACCAGATAACTTTGCCACCTCAACAGCATGCATCGAATATACCTTCCGAATGAAATAATAATTAAAAAATGCTTCATGAAATCTCGCCGGCCCCCGCGCCGCTGCAGCCCTCAGGTTTGCACCGCGGGCTTTTCAACCGGGGCGGCGGCGCAGGGCCGAGGCGCCGGCACCGCCCCAGGCCGGCCCGGGCAGGCGAGGGCTCGGGGGAACCTCTCCGCCGCGGGGGG